AGCAGAACGTGCACGGTTTCCCTAATGGGTGACGGAGGAGGATGTGCTGAGTGTGCCAGTAGGTGTGGGAGATTTCCCTCTCAAGTTATTCTAAGATCTCCTGGAGATGGGGAGTACACCTCGTGTCAGATTCCAAGTTGTCCCACGGCCAGAAAGCTCATTTAATGTTGCTTCAGCCCGAGTTTCCCACGCTTACGTGCCACTGAAGCCTCCTTCCACCAGGACACCCGTAAGGTCTGCGTGTACTGGCGGGATGGCCCGAGATGCCCTGGGAGGGAGGCACCGTCCTGCCTGCTTCTTAGCATCTGTTTGTTGTTCATGGCATGCTGGTGCCACCCCGGGCCCCCGTTCCCTTCTCGTACCTTCTGCCGTGGTCACCAGTGCAGCTCACCATTCTCATGCCGAAGTCATGGGGACTCTTTGGGTGTCTCCCATGCTTGTGGCTCCTGGGCTTTCTCTCTTGCTTAGAATACAGTCCCCAGTACAGAATGAGTTGAACCCCATCCTGACCTCATTCCCCCACCCCCCCGGTGTCACCCCCCACCCCCCCACCCCCACTCACCTGCGTCTACCCCTGGCCACCCTGTGACTCTCCCCACTGGAACTTATAACTCCCTGTGCCTGGGACACCCTTTTTCCCACATTCCACACACCTGTTCCCTCCCTGCTGTAGTTTTCTGCTCATATGGTGTCTCACCAAGATCCTCGCTTAAAAACTGGCTCGAAAAAGGACTCCTTTCCATCACACTCTGTCCTGGAAACTGGATTCCTTTTCCTCAAAACACCAATCCCCGCCTGCCCTAGTGAGTTACTTTTTGTGGTCTGTCTTCTTGACGGGCACACCGCATGAGAAGGACTTTGCTTTGTTCCCGGCGCGGTCCTGGGGACGCAGGTGGGTTGCGCGCGGAGGGCAGGGCTGAGGGGCGCGCACGGACGCTGCCCCAGTTGCTGGGCCGAGGGGCCGGGGTCGCGGCTCCTGGCTGCCGGGAGCCGTTGTGCGGTCCGTGTCCCTGCTGGACACTGGCTGCCCCGTACCACAGGTGGCGGCGGGGTGGGGGGTGTCCTCTGTGAATCGGCCCCGTCGTCGTCTTCGGAACTGCCCTCTGGTACTCCTTCTCTTCTGCAGCGTGTGCTCCGCTGTGGTGTAAGGAATCCTAGTCCCTGTTGCTGCTGTGCAGATCCTAGAAAGGGGTGCTGGCTAGGCGTTCCGATATCCGGTGTCCACACGGCGCTTTCCTTGCCACGAGGCCAGAGCCTTTGCGCTTCGAGCTCGCCGCTGCCCGCGGCCCCTCTTCCCTGGCCGCCGGTGCGAGGAAGCGGAACCCGTGTGTCTCCTCTGGCGAGAGCGGCCCCCCTCTCCCGAGCAACTCGATCTGGGGCTTAGCGATTTCTGTGCCGGGGGGTTTCGTGCTTTCAGGAGACAGTGGGGCTGCTTGCAGTTGGGACAGGCTCGGACCCACGGAATCCCAGGCCCCGGGCCCGCCGGGTGCAGCCGCCCACCCCCCCCCGCGCTACGCCGCTGACTGTGGGGCCCGGGGCGGCGGGGGCAGGAGGGGCACGAGCGCTGTTCTGGCTGCGGGTCTGCTGCCCTACGCACGACCTGCCGCTGACAGAAGCTGCTGGAAGCTGCCTGAGGAGCATTCAGGGCTGCCTGCCAGAGCTGGTGGGGTAAAAGAGTCGGAACCAAACTTCGCCTTCTTTCGGGTTGTGGTGTGTGGTGTTAGCGCGGGCTAGCCTTAGATGCCTGCTGTGGTTTACGGAGCCGTTTGGTTTGGGGGCCTTCAGGGTTTGACGCAGTGTGAGTTGGGAGGCCTTGACTTTGAGCGTCTTGCGAATCCGGTGAGGAAGAGGGTGAGTGCCAGTGTGAGGGGCCTTGCTGTGTCCCTGACTGGCTCTGTGACCTCGAGCCAGTCACCGAATCTCCCCGAAGCCGCTGCGGATGTCAAGGCTGAAAGGCAAAGTGCCTTAGTCCCCGCGGGCTCCTCTAACCAAACACTACAGACTGGGTGGCTTCTAAACAACAGAAATTTCTTTCTCGAAGTCCTGGAGGCTGAAAGTCCAAGATCCAGGTGCCCGCGTGGCCGGGTTCTGTGTCTGCGGACGGCCAGCTTCCCAGTTCCCGGATCGCTGTCTTCTCGCTGTGCCCTCACGTGACGGAAGGGGCAGGGACCTCTGTGGGGTCTCTCTTATCACAGCACTGATCCCCTTCATGGGGGCTTCTCCCTCATGACCTGAGTACCTCCCGGAGGCCTCAGCACCGAGCACATCCACACGGGGAATTAGGGTCCCAGCGCGTAACCGAGGGCTGGGGGAGCTCAGGCGTCCAGGTGGTAGCGCACTGTAGAATAACCTACATATTTATTGTACCGCCTTTTGTTCAGCGGTTATCGCTTTTCTGTCATTTTATTTCAGATGTACAAGCACTCGCTTGGGCTCTTAGTTAAAATTAAAAAAAAAGAAAAGACTTCTTTTGGCAGTGACAGATGTTACTGTTTTCTTTATGAAATGGAATATATTGGTATTTTAGAAAATACCAAATCACTGACCACATCCTCTGAATTTGATCAAAGCTCTAGAGGGAATTTTCTCTCTCTCTCTCTCTCTCTCTCTTTTTTCTTTCTCTAGAGGTAATTTGAGCAAAGGGAGAACATTCTCAAAGAAATGAATCTTGCAGATATAAAGGAAGAGGCTTCTTACCCTTTGTAGTTTTTATTAGATGAAGGTTTATCATAGTTGAAAATTGGAAGTGGTGTGAATTCTGGGAAACATTGCTTGTCCGTGTAAAAGCATGCGGGCCCAACCTTGGCCGCTGTGAGCAGGTACGTGCCTGCAGTGTCTAGGGCCATCTCCGCACTTGGCTGCCCAGTGCTGACTTGAGAACTGGGGGGATGGGGGCTTGAACCCTGGCAGCTCTGCCAGATCTTAGCTTGTCATCCTGGGTCACTTAGTTCATCGCTCTGAGGCTCAGGTTCTTCATTATAAAATCTGAGAAGGTCCTGCTTATCCCATAAAGCCAGTGAGGGGGTTCCAGGAGGCAACAGATGCAAAGCACACAGCCAGACCCTGACACCCAGTAGGTGCTTCACACATCGAACTATTCTAATGTACTCTTTATACAATATAATTATGTAATATCAAATAGTATATGCTATATAAAATGTTTACGTAAGGTTATGTTTAATACATAATAATCTTTTTGTAGGAGTGTATTCTCATATAATGTAATAGTAACATACGGTATGATTAACGTAATATATAATGTATACATATATAATGTAACAATAATATATAACTTTTAAACAACAGTATTCTGTCTGAAATACCAGGACTTCAAGATCATGTTCCCTGGTAGCTTTCATGCTTTTTAAACAGTGGCATCTTCTCCCCTTTCCTTTCCCGCAAACGATACCTTCTGTGCATCTCAGCGTCCCCTGTCTGAGACAGAGCAAATAGAAGGTGCTTGCTGAAGCGGGGGTAAGGGTCCCTAAGCCTAGGCCTAGGCTCTCCCTTTAGCTGCTCCTGCTCCCGACGCCAGGATGCCCTCAGAACAGAGTGGAAACAGCTGTTCTCGCCAATCTGCTTTCTCTTCGCGGTCTCAGAGCCACTTGGGTAGAGCTCAGGGTGCAGTTCCGTGGCCTTGAAGTTGAATTGTCGTCCTCCGAGGTGCTCTGTGGCGTCTGCTGGGCGGGTGAATGACGCGGCTGCTGATCCCCCCTTCCTGAGGGGATTTGGGGCACAATCGTAGAAGCTGGTGGCTCGACAGGCTGCTGCCTCAGTCCCTGGGTTTGCTGGTGGCCACACTTAGGCTTTATTGCTACCAAAAGCAAGAAGGAAGCCACGACACTGAGGTGTGACGCTGCAGCTGACGCGTGTAGCGGCTCGAGTCACAGCCTCAGCACCACCTGTGTCTGCCCTTTTCTGGTGGTTTGATTAGCCTCGATTTTCAAGCAATCGAAAACGTTTTGCTCTGCGTAGTGGAGTTCCTTTTCTCCGCGTGGGTGTCAGCGTCAGATATGATCTGTTGGCTGTGATCTTCGCTCTGGAGGAGCAATAGACCTGGTTAGCAGAGGGGCTGGTCCTTGACCGTTAGAGAGGAGTCCGCTTTCTCTGGCCCCGGGATTTTTGTCTGAGAATGACGTAAATCCTTTTCTACCGACTTTATCAGCCTTTGTGGGTTGTCGGTTGTGACATTAGATGAGACGTATTGGAAAGCCTTTTATCAGAAGGTTAATACAGGGAGGCATTATTACATAAACGAGTCTGAATTTTCTCTGCAAGAAAAATTGGGCCACTTCTTTGGCTGATGGGCTCTGAGCTAGATGACCTTCTATGTCTGCCTCCGTTAAGATACTCTCGGTTCTCTGTGAAACAGCCAAAAAGGGAAAACACGTGGCCCGGCCATGTTGGGACGTAGGGGAGTCATGGTGGCTTGTGTGGGGACCCATGAGGCACCTGCATCCAAGCCACGGAAGAGGACTTCAGCCCAGTTTTCATAAATACATCATCTGTAGCCGATGCAGGCCCAGCAGTGCTCCAGAGGGAGGGCACGGGTTCTTGCCTGTTTCATTTGACCTTCTCTTATTCCATGGGTGCTGTTGGCTCAGATCAACTTGGGGTTTTGAGTACCAGAGCTGGTGAGTTTTTTACTTTGTGTCCCGTGAGTACGCAGCTTCAGCGTTGTCCTGACAGTCAGAATAATCCTCGCAGACATTACACGTAAGGTGCCCAGGTAGGCCTTCTCCTGACATGTTCTCCGTAAACGGGAAGAACATTAAATGGAGGTGTGAAGGGTTGAAGTGACTTGCCCAGGGCCCCACTCTAACGCTGGAGTCTCGGGTACTCAGTGGCCTGCCAGGATGCTTCCGTGAGCGGAGAATCGGGGAGCGTGGGCGGGCCATTGTCAAGGATCCAGATTCCCCGGTCACGCGGGGGAAACAGTTTTGTGTAAGGACTGTGGAATGGCGATTTGGAATCTGAAAGGCTTGCTCACGGCTTTGCAGAGGAGGAGCTCATGCCGCTTCTGGACCAAAGTATTCCAGCCTCCCGAGCCCTGAGGGCCTCCAAGGCTCAAGACTTGGTAGGGAAGGTGAGACGGAGGGTGCGCTGTAGGAGGCTGCTGCTCCCGTGAGGGCCCGAGCCAAGCCTCGGCTTGGTCGGCAAACCACTTCCACCACCCAGACCGGGCCTCGTGTGCACGGGGGCAGACGGGTCGGAAGGAGAGAGGGACGGAGGGAGAGAGGGACGGAGGGCGGGAGGAAGTTGGAGTGGATGGAAGGAAGGATGAATGGGTGTTGGGATTGAAGGAAAGAATTAGAGAGGTGAGTAGTAGGGGGAGAAAGAGAGATAGAGCAACTGGAACCAGAATGAGGTAGAAGAAAGGTAGAGGAGACAGGGAGTTCGCAGTTTTATATGCGGGCCTCGTTATTGCATCGTTCACAACTTTTCTTCTGTCCCTTATGTGCTTGCACGCAGATGTCATTCGTATGTTTGTTTAATAGACATTTTTTTTTTTTAAAGATTTTATTTATTTATTTGACAGAGAGAAATCACAAGTAGGCAGAGAGGCAGGCAGAGAGAGAGGAGGAAGCAGGCTCCCTGCTGAGCAGAAAGCCCGATGTGGGGCTTGAACCCAGGACCTGGGATCATGACCTGAGCCGAAGGCAGCGGCTTAACCCACTGAGCCACCCAGGCGCCCCTGTTTAATAGACATTTTTGACCACTAACCCAGGTGCTGGGACTAAACAAATAAGACGTGATCCTCCGCTCAGAGAGGAGTTTAAAATCCCAGGAAATTACTCAAGCCACTGTTGGTTGCGTAATCATTAGTAGAGGTCGTGAGAACCGGACCGGCAAGTCCTCACCTGCGCTGGCTGTTCCTGGAGCAAAGAAAGTCGTCCGCAGGTCGAGCCTCATCTCTGTGTATTACCACAAGCAAGGAAGGTTTCCTGGGATCTTTAATTTTCTCTGCCAAACCAATGTGTTTAACTTGTGTCCCACCTTTCTAAAAAGCTTCTGAGTTTTTCACTGTTGTTCAGTGGATCGTTGGACTCTCGCACAGAATTAACTCTTGCGTTTTCGTTTTAAACCAGGATCGATCGGAAGATGTCAAGCGCTCATACCAGCTACAAACCGGACGAGGCGCAGGCGATAATGACCGAGCTCCGGACCATCAAGAAAGCCATCTGCACCGGCGAGAAGGAGAGGCGGGACCTGATGCAGGTAGGGGCTGGCCCTCCGCGCACCCTGTGTCCGTCCATCTGCCTGCCTGCGTGTCCATCTGTCTATTCGGTAACATGTTAGGAAACTATGGGTTGATGATATATATTATGTATTTGTCATGTATACAATTCATATATACTTTAAAACGTACGTACATGTCATACATGTATGTGTGTTCTTTATGTGTGTGTATGTTTCTACATACTGTGTATTAAAATATTTAGAAGTGTGGGTGTTAGTTTCCTAAGCCTGCCATGACACTGTGCCACAGACTGGGAGAGAGCACCTGAAAGTCATTCTCTCAGAGTCTGGAGGCCAGAGGTTCATGGTCAAGGTGCCGGCACGGCCACGCTCTCTCTGAAGGCTCTAGGGGAGACCCTTCTTTGCCTTTTCCAGCTTTGGGAGCTGCTGGCGATCCTTGCCGTTCTTTGGCTCGCCGACGCCCCGCTCTGATCTCTGCCTTCATCGTCCCATGGTGTTCGCCCTGTGTCTCTGTGTCTACATGTTTCTCTTCTTATAAGGATGCCAACCACTGGATTCAAACCCACTCCGATTCAGTATGACCTCACCTTAACTTGATTCCATCTGCAAGGACTCTCTTTCCAAATAAGCTCACTCTCACGGGCTCTTAGCACTTGGACGTATCATTGGGGAAGACACAGTTGAAGCCATAACAATTGGCGAAACAGATTGTTCAATAATAAAAATAATTTAAAAAGTCTGATGAGAAGTCTTGCTGCCACCCCATTCGCTCATCCCCGGTAACTACTTCTGTTAGCTTCTTGGGTGGCCTGCCAGCATTTTTACAGACACGGGAGAGCATGAACACATATTCCACTGTCCCCACAGGAAGGTGGGGCTTCCTCACATGACCCTAATGCCCTGTCCCCTTTTCCGCATGTGTCTGCACGGGCTTCTGCCTTCCTCGATGTGGCCGCATAGTATTCCAGCTCGTGGGCAGATTTTAGTTATGTGGCTGGGATCGTTGGAGCTTTCTACTGCTTTATTTTTTGGTCCCTTGAACTTCTGGGGATTTGGGTATTTTTAGGAAAAGCTTGATTTTTTTGCATGTGGAGGTGCACTGGTGTTTTGACTTGGTCCTGGGGTGCACTCCGGTGCTTCTGTTATGGCTTTCATTTTTTGCTCAACGCCCTGAGTGCCTGGTAGGCGTGTGTTTAGATTCTGCAGAAGGACATGTGAAGCAGAGCTCGGACTTGTGGCCCAATGGAGACAGGTGCACACGTAACTGCCTTGCACGGCAGTGCTTCCGAAGTCAAGGTCAGGAGACTTGTGGAGTGTCCACACAGTGGTTGTTCAACTGCCCATTACTGGGCCCTACGCCAGGCCTGCTGGATTAGGCTCTGGAGGTGCGACCCACCAGTCGGTATTTTCAGGTGCCCTCCCAGGTCACGAGAGTTAAATGGTCAACGGTTAGATTTTCTCCAGGCATTGGTGGCAAGAACAGCTCCTGCCACTGACTGCGGCCTCTGAGGGCAGCGTTGGACAAATGGGCATCTCCCATTTAATCTAAGCCCAAACTCCGGGGGTGAACCAGGTGGTAATCCACCATGGGGGCTTGGAGGACTTGCCCCAGAAGGTTGAACTAACTTCTCTGCCTTGGCCTTTCCAAGTGTGCTGAGCTGGGGCAAGCCACCCACTTTCCTCGAGTGGGTTCCCCACCGGGGACTCTGGATATAGAATTTCCGTAAGAAGCTCCAGACCCCAGCGTCCTCTTTGAGAAGCTCCTGGGAGAGGCCTGGGCAACATCTTCTCTAGGAAAATCTAAGAAGTTGTTCTTTTATGACCGTAACAGTATCGGCCCATTCCAGCATACCTTCGTCTGGATCCAGAGCCAGCTATGCATGTCATGCTGCACCTGCGCGTTCTGGTGTCTATGGAAACGTCTGCTGGAGAGAGAGATATTCCAGAGTCTTCTATAAAATTGTAGAAAATCGGAGTTCTTTTTTATTTCCACCCAAAGGAGTTATGTACACAAGGAGATACAGTTACTCTAGTTTCTGGCACACTAACATCCATATGCGAAGACTCTTAACCATGTAGAATTATGACTGAAAAATCAGGCTCTAAAAATACATAAACCTCACCTGGGAGTGGTTTTCCTTTTGTGTGGTGTATCGAAATCTCAAGGCGGCATTCATCTCTGTCAGACTCATCTATCGATACAACATTTTGTATGGCAGTGCCCCCCCCATTATATTGAGGTACAATTGACAGATAAAATTTTAGAAATTTAAGGCGTACCACCTGATGATTTGCTATACACATAGAAGGTGGAATGATGACCACGATAAAGTTTGTTAACACACCCATCGCCTCACATTGGTTAGGGTTAGAAAGTTTCTATCACACACAAAGAACTCAAATAACTCGTTTCCTTCTCTTGCAGAGCCTGGCCAAGCTGACTGATGGCTTCAGGAATAGCTTTTCTCTCAGCGACCCTCCGCAAGACTTCCCTCACAATCCAGGTGTGCTCAGCGATTCCTTACCTCAGCAGTTCTGCGATGCTGGGTCTCAGACTGACATCATTGGAGAGGTACGCCAAGAACGGGGGCACGAGCAGAGGGTGCCAGGACAGAAAAGAGCTGCTTTTGTGCTGCCATCACTCATTTATTTGATTTTGCCACTTTCTCTTCAGAAATGTTTTCCCTTTTGTGCCATTATGTTTGAAGGAAAAATCCAGCTGTGAAGACTCCATGACCTGGAAGGCAATTGAATTGCTTATTACCTCTGACCTTGTGATTTGGGTTCTTTAAAACAGCAGACTCCTTCTGAGAATTGAGTTTAGGGGTGTGTGTGTGTGTGTGTGTGTGTGTGTGTGTGTGTGTATGGGTGTGTGTGTGTGTGTGTGTGTGTTTTAAGATTTATTTATTCAGAGAGAGAAGGTATGCAGGGGTGGGGGGGTGCAGTGGGAAATGGAAAAACTTAAGCAGACTCCACACTGAGTGGATCATGACCTGAGCCAAAGGCAGTTGCCCAACCAACTGAGCCAACCCAGGCACCCCTCCATGTCCTTTTGATAGACGAGGGGATCGAGGTGCCAAGTCCCCTAAGGTCATGTGGCCAGGGAGAGGCAGGTCTTCCTGGGTTTGAATTGACATCTCTGAGGCCTAAACATCTGTGCTTTCTACTACATCATGCACTTGTAAAAAAGTGTATTGAAAGGCTGAACTGGATTGGTTGGCTATTGCTGCATAACCAATTACTCCAGAACATAGCATCTTAAAGATTTTATTTATTTATTTGACAGAGAGAGATCACAAGTAAGCAGAGAGAGAGGAAGGGAAGCAGGCTCCCTGCTGAGCAGAAAGCCCGATGTGGGACTTGATCCCAGAACCCTGAGATCATGACCTGAGCTGAAGGCAGCGGCCCAACTCACTGAGCCACCCAGGGACTCCAGAACCTAACGCCTTTATTATCTCAGACTTACACCATAGCTCAGGAGTCTGGGCGGGGTCCTCTGCCTCAGGGGCTCTCCCGAAACTGCCAGGGAGGAGTCACCCAGGGCTGGGGTCTCATCTGAGGGCTCGACTGGGGAAGTGGCCACTCTGAAGCTCACATGACTGTTGGCAGGATTCACTTCCTCATAGGTTGCTGGACGGAGGGCTCTGCTTCTTTACCGTACAGACCTCTCCAGCACAGTAGCTTGCTTCTTCAAAGTGTGCAAACTGAGTCTGTTGGCAAGATGGAAGTCACCATCTTTTATAATGGAATCACAGAAATGGCTTCCCGTCATCTTCCCGTCATGTGTTGTATTCTACTGGTTACAGTCAAATCACGGCCCTAGGACATTCTCAAGGGAATTTCACATGGGGTTAGTCCCAAGAGGCAGAGACCATTGGGGACCATCTTAGACATCTGTGCAACTGACTTCATTCTCACTTCCGTGCTATAGGACTACACTGGAACCGTGAAACAGGAACCTGTTGAATCCATTGGGCCATAGGTTTCTCCTTTTTTGACCAAGATGACCATTTTATTCTCAAAGAAGAGTGCAAACAAAGACCTTAGAGATCTATGGACAGCATTGAGAAGAGGTTTTTTGTTTTTTTTTTTTAAAGATTTTATTTATTTATTTGAGAGAGGGAGAGAGAGAGAGAGCATGAGAGGGTCAGAGGGAGAAGCTCTGCGGAGCGGGGAGCCCAATGTGGGACTTGATCCCGGGACTCCAGGATCATGACCTGAGCTGAAGGCAGTGGCTTAACCAACTGAGCTACCCAGGTACCCGAGAAGAGGTTCTAAGAAATGACATTTCTTGGTCTTGATGAGGGGTCAGCTGCAGGAGTCTCCGGGTGATGAGGTGACAAGTAGCCATTTCCAGTGTAGACAGTTTCTGGAGCTGTGATGTCATAGCCTAAAGATATTTATGTTAAGGAAACCATGGAGAAGGGCTTCGGACAAAGCTGTTAAAATGTGCACAATGGTGACCCGTCTCACTGGAGAATGCTTGCTCCATCCCTCATTCAAAGCAATAAAGATGTAGAGAAATTCCTATTGACTTATATAAAAACTGGTATCAATAAATTTAGCACAAATAATATTTTCAAATGTTTGTTGACATGAGGTTACTTAAAAAAAAAAGACTTAGTGGCTATAACATGTGGTCTAGGTAAGGTCAGAGCTACAGAGATAATTGATTAATGAACTAGTGTTATATGTTTTCAGGAATGAAGGAAGAGGTAACCGAGGTGAACTATAGTTATCTCCCATACAGGTCTTTTTGGTTTTGTTTTAGGAATTTGTTTAGTTCAGCATAATTGGTATGAAAATATTTAAGCACAGCTAGTGATCACGTCAGAGAGCCACGTTTCAGTTCCAGCTCCTGGGGTGACGGGCCCCATCAGACTCTTCCACACGTTGCTTTCCTTCCTTTTGACCTTCAGTTCTATAACATGCTACGTAACATTCGAAGGAGGCCTGTAGCCCATGTCTCACCCAGCTAGTCCGCCTTCTTCAGATCTTGCGACTTCGTAGAACATTCTTCTGCATTCGTTGAAGAACAAGAGAACGTACTGTACAAAATGGGATGAATATTTTTGCCTTTGTGTCAACTTCTACTAAATAATTCCCCATTTTTTTTAAACTTAATTTGTTGTTGTTGTTAAGAATTACACAATAGATGAATACACTTCCACTGTTAAAAAAAAAAAAAATCCACCAGTGTTGGGGAAGCAAAGTCTTCCCAGCTCCACTTGCAGCTTCCACCAGCCAGGGTGGCGGGCGAGCCCTGTTGGGTGTGTTTCCTTCCAGACCCTTGAGAAATGGGAATGCAAAGACAGATTAAAATATTCTCCATTGTCGCTGAAAGTTTAAATGAATTTTCTGTTTTGAAAATATGTCTTTAATATGTCTCTTCCCCCTTTTTTTCCTTCTGTTCCGGAAAGTTTGTCTTTGATGATAAAACAAGACTCGTGGACCGCGTCAGGCTTAATTGGCAGTATGAGGAAGCCAGAAAGAGGTAAGAAGCTCCTTTCTCAAACCTCGCCTTCTGCCTCCTTCCTTTCTGCCCTGGAAAGAGGTTTTACGGAGCTCCAGGGTGGGACTGTCCACTTTTTATCAGAAAGCAGTGTCTGCTAGAATGCAAAATCCACGATCTTCCTTTCTGGGTAAGGCTCTTAATGCCCATGACAGAATTTCACGTGCATTTAAAATGCGTAATTCTCACTATTGTGGACGGTTCTGAAGCCATGACTGAAAAAAGACTGAGACTTCCCAGCTTCCGTCTCCACCCCCCGCCCTCCCTGCCTCCCGACCAGCCGCTGTCCCTCGGACCTGCTTCAACAGAATTGCCTTATATTTTATATATGCCGTTTCTAACTGCAGAGGTTAATGGAAACAGTCACATATCTTGGTTTAAAAGACAGTTTAATAAGGACCAGGTCAGCAGGTGCTCACAGTTCCTCAGCTGCGGAACTTGGGTGGAGAGAATTGCAGCCCAGCCTTTTCTGTTGACTTTCGCTGTAAATCATCCGCCTTCGGAGAATGGAGACTTGAGCCTGTCTGTACATGTTTAGAATTTGTCTTTCTGTCCCCCTCTCCCAGCCCTAAGCATCGGACAAGGGCAGAATGGAGAGGCACTGCGGAACGCTTGCAGGCAGGCTAGATTTGTGGCACGTCACGTTCCTCCCCGCCTTCGCAGGACCCTGGTTCCCGTATTCTGACCCTGCCTTAGCTTTCGGGTCCCCTTGCTAGAAACCCTCTCTCTCTTTTATGTCTTCTGAAAAGAGCCCTAAAACCAAATTATTTCCACATATGTGCTTCAGGAAGCTATGAAGCATCTCTTTTCAAAAAAAAGTCTTTTAGTCACATGTGAACTATTTTCTGAGGGGGGGGGCGAAGGAGCGCAGTGCCAGGTGGGGTCAGGGGTCCTTTCTGGAAATGAGATAGTTGGGTCGGCTGCAGATACTGTATCGTTCATGATGTCTGGAAATCCACTTTGTTGCCTTTTTAGAAAATGTAAAAATAGCAACAATCGGATCAGATGACTCCGTGCTGGAGGCCGGCACGAGCGGACATGGGCTTTCTGATTGCTCGGAGCTCGAAGCCCCGCTTCTTCCTGGCTTCTCACCTCGTGTCTGGGCTGGGCCTTACGTCTCCACGCGGACCACTGCCAAGGGCAGTCAGCTGTGCTGCTTATCACTGCGGTGGTGTTCTCCGTGTGCCCTGTGTGCCTTCCTTCTCCTGAGCTCGAGGCTGTCTGTCAGGGGCCGTTGTCGGCTTGGGATCCGCCTCTGCTCGCTCTTGCATGTTTCTGCTGGACCGCACAGTGTGGGTGCTGGAATTTGCTGTGTCGTATTAAAATGCAGAAAATAGTTGGTTGCTATGCTTTGCAACATAATTGTTACGTGTTTTGCTGCGACATTTACTAAACATAGCAAGTGATTTCTTTGTTTTCTAGAGGTACTACGGGTACACAGTGAGTAACCTTTTAAATGTTGAGACGACATTTGGGTGAAAAGGCAAATATTTAAGAAAATTATTCAGGGGGGGACACTGCATTTCATGGGCATCTTTTAAACGACAGTGCTATTTCAGGATGACCAGGACCTTGTTAGGAATTGCATGCAGCTGCGGGGGTGGAGGGGGCAGGACCCCAGTGGGCCAGAAATGCCGTTCTGGGCTCCCTGGGCCACATTTAAATATCAGGTACCCGCGTGGAGACGTCCTGGATCGGCTTGCACAAGCACGGTGTTTCCTTTTCCCATTAGCACAGTGGTTCCCACCGGGCGGAGCGGGGGAGAGGGGACTTTACCCCCAGGGGACTCTGGCCGCGTCCTGAGGCAGGTTTGGTTGTCACAGCTCTGGGGGACCTGCTCGGCCGCTGCTCAGCATCCTACGGCGTGCTGGGCGGCCCCACACAGAGAACGAACGTACGTCACCAGTGCCGAGGCCGAGAACCCCTGCTCCAGTTGGAGGACTGTGGTGCCTCAGCGTGGCCATCCCCGTGGGATTTCCTGCTGGCCGCCATGCGCGGGTGACCCCACTAGCTTCATCCGCACCCCCCAGCAGGGGGCAGAGGAGCTGCTGGGAGAATGGGAGATTGTACTCCTATCTGTGCGGTACCTGACCTTGTTCTGGACATTTCAGAAAAAACAGTGTGCTTTATGCGAAGCGATGACGTATGGTCTTCAGCCTGTTTGGGAGATAAACTCCTCCCCAGCTAACAAGAATATGTCGGTCTATCAGTGGCTCTGCCTGTGGGTGACGACCTCTCGCTACCCTACCCCAGGACCTGCTGGGGCTGTGCGTGCGTGCGTGTGCGTGTGCGTGCGCACTTTTGTTTTCCTCTTTGTCTTTATTATAAAAATAGTACACGAGTACATTGTTTTTGTCGCAGGTGCACACAGTGGAGACCACCCACTTCCCCTGCTCTGATCCCGCTTCCTACCCTTCATGGTTTGGTGTGACACCTTCCAGGCTTTTACCTAAACATTTGCATAAAGGAAGCCCGTGTAGTTAAATGGAGGATGTGATGGGCACCTGGCTTAGAGTGCACAGCCCTCCCTCCGCGCACAGGCATCTTAGACAGGGTGTAGTTCTTCCCTTTCACAAACAACGCACATTTCTTCACAGGCCCCAGCCTCGCAGAAATGACTGTTTCGTCGGACTGATACTTAGCGATGAAATGTACAGATCTTAACGCACATATGTTGAAAGGTTTCGGAGGGGCGCCTGGGCAGCTAAGTTGGTCAAGCGTCTGACTCTTGATCTCAGCTCAGGTCTTTATCTCAGGGTCCTGAGTTCGAGCCCCACGTGAAGCCTACTTTAAAAAAAAAAGAAAGTTTTGATAGATAACGACATTGCCTTCCAGAATGACTTAGCCACCCTGCACTGCCACCAATGTCAATTAAACATCTTCATTCTTTGTCAGTTTTACTAGAGTAACAGGCAGAGACCTTCTCTCAGTTGTCATGTGCTTCTCCCTGGTGTGAATGGTGCATTTCCTCGTGCTGTTCAACATAATTTTGTGTGATTTTTGATTCTTTTAATTGCTGGGCCTGAATTCTTTTTTCTAGACAAGTGATCCTTTCAAAACATGTTAGATGCTGTCATTCCCGTTCCACATGGCTCTCAAGCCTTGAAGGAGGCTGCTTTTGCTCCCCAGGGAACAGTTTCGGTCCTCAGGGCTAGCGACAGGGTACTACCGGCAGCCAGTGGGCGGAACCCAGGGAGGCTGCCGACCAGCCCACAATGCACAGTGTGGCCCCACGGCAAAGACTTCAGCCCCCCAGGGTGTCAGTAGTGCCTCAGCTGAGAAACCTTACTCTTGGCCTTCTGCTTTTGCTTCTAAATCCCTATTGTGAGGAGCCAGTTTTCCACTAACCCCGGGCGTTAGCCCACTCCCTTCCATGTCCTCCCTTGCCCGGTTATGGATGGACACACCGGGTCTCCAGCCTGCCGGGCACACTCCTGACTTAGTGCCCAGAGTTGGCAGAATCACGGCCCCCTCAAGATGTTCACTTCCCAGTGCTCAGAACCTGGTGGCTGTGTTGCCTTCCGTGGCAGAAGACACTTTGCAGATGGGATTAAGTTAAGGACCTTGAGATCGGTGATAGTTCTGGATGACCCAAGAGGGCTCAATGTCATCACTAGGGCCCTTAGAAGAGGGACAGTCTGGAAAGGAGATGTGAGGAGGGAAGCAGAGATCAGAGAGGTGTGGGTCACAAGCCGAGGCCTGGGGGCAGCCCTGAGAAATGCCAGTGCCATGGATTCTTCCCTGGAGCTTATAGAAGGACCATAGCCCTGCCCACCCATTTTGGCCTTTGGACTTCTGAGCTCTAAGATCATGATGTGTGCGGTTTGAAGGCCCCGGGTCTGTGGGCTTCTGTTATAGCAGCACGAGGACACCCGCACCGTGCTCTTGGCCTTCGCTGTTTCTTCTCCTACCGGTGGAACACTTTGTCTCAAATCGGTCAGGTGGCTTCTGCTCTCCTCTTGGTCCCCTTGTTGGAGATGCTTCCTTGATCATCCGGAATGAAGTAGCATGCCCCATTCCCGCCCCTGTCACCCCGATGCTCCCAGCAAATGTGACCACCTAACCCATTCTCTGCGTGCGTGTTTTCTGTTTTATCATCTGTTTTTCCCTCCGAGAGCATAAACCCCACAAGGGCAGGGAGTTTTGTCTGTTTAGGTCATTGCTGTGATTCCAGTAGCTGAATACCACTGAATAGCTATTGGATGAGTAGACGAAGGCCCTGTCCGGTCGCACTTGCTGTCTGGCCCTTGCTTCCGGCAGCGGGCAGGCAGAAGGCGTCCTGGGGGCCCAGGGCAGCTCCAGGCGGACGGCGTTGCTCTTGGGTCCCTTCCCCACGGCCCACGTCCTGATGGGAGCCTTGAGGTACTTCCCCTTGAGCTGAGGAGAGAAAAGGCATCAAGATGTGCCTGTCTCTAGGGATCTAACAGGTGGGGAAGGTCTCTCCATTTCAGGATCTGTAATCACACCAGGCTCAGCTTACAGCTCTTGGGCCTTCATGGACATTTGAAGAGGCTTGTGATCTTGACTCTTTCTATAATGATTTCTCTTCCTGGGTGCTGGAGGAGATGGCATTGACGCTACACCCTGAAGGATGCTGGGATTCTGGGTGCCTGTGCATTTGGGGAGCAGGGATCAGGGCGGAAAGTTGTGCGATCGCAAGTCTCCGAGGAGGTGGGGGGTCGGTCTGCGGCAGCCGGACAGGCTTGTAGTTGCAGAACAAAAGGGAGTGGGGATGGGGATGGAAGAGGCTGCGAGCAGGGAGGCAGGACCGCATCATGGCGGACCACTGGTGCCTTGGAAAGGAGTTGAAATTGCTGGGCATTCTAGGACCTTTGAGTCGGGAATGTTCAGTGTGAGCCGTCCCAGTGGGGAGATGTCCAAGAGGGCAGGGGGAGGTACCAGTCTGCGAATCTTTGGCATCTAGGTGATACTGATGTCGCGGGGTGGCAGAGCTCACTTTGGGAGACAGTGTGCACTGAAAA